GACTTTGTAGTACAACTTTAGTACGCGGAGTATCTGGGGAGCTGGAAGATGAGAACTGGCGACTTGGTAGTACAACTTTAGTACGCGGAGCAATCTGTGGAGCTGGAAGCCGAGAACTGGCGACTCGCTAGTACAACTTTAGTACGTACGCGGAGCAATCTGTGGAGCTAGACGCTGATAACTGGCGACTTTGTAGTACAACTTTAGCATGCGGAGTATCTGGGGAGCTGGAAGAGGAGTACTGGCGACTTTGTAGTACAACTGTAGTACGCGGAGTAGCTGGGGAGCTGGAAGATGAGAACTGGCGACTTTGTAGTAAAACTTTAGACGCGGAGGACCGTAGGAGTACAACTGTAGGACGCGGAATAGCTAAACTTGTTGCGTAGCTGCCTCAGCAATTTTCTATGTTCATTCCAGCTCGCTTTTTTCGGTGAGATTTCCTGGAAGGCGTGCACGTTGCTTCTCAAGGAATGGACGCTCTGAGGTGGATGTAACGTCTCAGCGAGGGTCGGGCTCTCAGACAGAAGAGCTGTGCGCTTGACTATTTCCCTTTACCAGCAGCTCAAATGCTCTCGAAGATGAGCTGAGCTGTCACCGCTTGGCCGTCGGTGGGGGGTTTGGGAGGCCTGCGAGCTACTTCCTTCACTATATCTACAGTGAAGAAATTCACCATTTGCCCTCACCAGCAGCTCAAATGCTCACGTCGATGAGCTGAGCTGTCACCGCTTGGCCGCCGGTGGGGGGTTTGGGAGGCCTGCGCGCTACTTCGTTCACTATATCTACAGTGAAGACCTTCACCAGCAGCAGACATAGACACACACACAGACAGGGACTCATACACACGCATCACACACAGAGACCCACGCACGCCTCAACTCACTCGGACACACACACACAGACAGAGACTCATACACACACACACAGACATAGATACACACACAGAGACCCACACACTGCCTCAACTCACTCGACTTAACACTTCACACTGAACACTTAACAGATAACTCACACTCTGACTTCCTACGTGATGAAAATGCTTTCGGGCCACTCGTCGTCTAGTTCTTTTTCGACAGGCTTGTCAGGTAGCTATTCAAGTTTTTGAGATCTTAATGCGCTGTTCACTCGGCACTTTTGCTCGACGGACGTGCAAGTCACTATACCTATTTTTCTCTCTCGCCCTCTTCTTTTTGCTCTTTCTGCCTTTCTTTTTCCGTAGATAGCGAGAGCTTTTGGGGTTCTTACTTCAAGTATAGGAAGAGGTGCCTGTGTGCGCTGTGGAGCTTTGGTGCTGGTGCCGCCGCTGCCAGATCTGTGGCCGCGCGCGCTTTGGAGCTTTGATTGGTGCTGGTGCCACTGCAGGGACGCTGCCAGAAGTGTGGCCGTGTGCGCTTTGGAATTGGGCGCCGCTGGCGGATGTGTGGCCGTATGATGTATGCGCTTTGCAGTTTGGGTGCTGGCGATGCTGGCGGGCGCAGCACAGCGCCGCTGAAGTGTGCTGCCCACCAAAGTCTTTTTGCTATCTAGGGTCTAATGCTGGCGTAATTCTTTATTCCACCAGATAGCGGCAGCTATGGAGTTCTTATTCCCCAGATAGCGAAGCTATGGTTTTTTTTTCAGTTTTTTCCCCCAGATAGCGAAGCTATGGGGTTCTTACTTCAAATAATAGTGAGTTGCCCGTGCGCGCTTTCGAGACAGTTGCTGGTTCTGGGTGACGGAGCTGGTGCTGGTGCTGCGAGCTGGCTGTGCACGTGGTGGAGACAGGTTGCTGGTTCCGGTGCTGGTGCTGGGTGCCGGTGCTGGTGCTGTGGCACGCGGTGGAGAAAGGTTGCTGGCGCTGGTGCCGGGTGACGGTGCTGGTGCTGGTGCGTTGGCTGTGCACGCGGTGGAGACAGGTTGCTGGTGCTGGTGCTGGGTGCCTGTGCTGGCGCTGTGAGCTGGCTGTGCACGTGGTGGAGACAGGTTGCTGGTGCTGTTGCCGGGTGCCGGTGCCGGTGCTGGTGCTGGGTGCC